CTTCCCTTCCTCCTCAAGCAAGCTTCCGGGCACGGCCAGTCTCTCTCGGTGACTTCCGGTAAGAAAAATGGCCCTTACCTACTTCCGGTGTGGGAGATCCGGGTATCCCACCTCGGGTATGGGGGCAGGAAGGGCCTCTCTAGCCAACTTCCTGTTGCAGAGCAGCCCCTCTCGCTGGTCTCTGGGCCAGTCCTTCCATGGCCTCCAGACAAGGCGGGAAGTTCCACTCTCGCTCCCTTCCGGGGTAAGAAAAGCTTGTTTTCCCATCCTTCAAATTTGGGAACTGCCCTCTCTGCCTGTCTTCCTATACTAAACGCTCCACTCAGTGATTCCCAATAAGGGAAAAACGCGTTTATTGACTTCCAGTGCAGGGAAGTCTTGCTTACTGACTCACGGTGTGGAAGGCGCCCCTTTGCTGACTTCCGGTGCGGGACAGCCCCCCACTGACTCCCTGTGCGGCCCCAAGCCGTCCCCTTTCCAGTGGGGAAAACGCTACCTTCGCTCTCCTCCGAAAGACACACAGGCTCCCTCTCCGCTCCCTTGGCCGGGAAAGCCCAGTGCCCTACGCTCTGGACCCAAGGCCGCCACACTCACACCCCAGGCGTCCCTGGTCCCACCCAGCCCCGTGGCAACCAGGCTTCTGCGCAGGAGAGAAGCTCATGCTCAGAGGCCAGCCTCCCAAGTCCACGTGAGCACCTCCTCCCCCGGGCCTCAGACCTGGCCCGGTGAGCTCTGAACCCACAGCCAAGTGGAGCATCTGTCTGCAGGGCCAGCCCCAGGACATCTGCTTCCCAAAAGGAGGGAGGACCAGCCCCCAGGGGGCCCAGAGCTCGGCAGGGCTGGGGTTAGTAAGAAGAGAAAACAGGGTTAGTAGGGGCTGGGTTAGTAAGTCAGAGCACAGCACCAGCAGACAGGGGCACCTCAGCAGACACACACGGGAGTCACTAGGAGAAAAGGAAGAACGCACGCGGGTCCGTTAGTTTGTTAAGGGGCGGTCGGGGTGCACTTGCGCCCCCCGGGTTAGACAGGTTAGTAACCGAACAAAAGAGCCGCCTACAGAAAAGAAAAAGCTGGGGAGGAGGAAGAGTGGGGAAGAGACGGTTAGGGGTTCAAAGCGAGTGTCTGGCCCCAGGCCGAAGGGTCTGTGTGCAGAACACCCAGAGGGACCAGGGCCTGGGCAGGGGTCATGATCAACAGGGTTTTCTGGGCCTCTCACCCCCACCCTAACCCTTGTTTTCTTTAAGTATCTGCCACTGATCATGACCTTAATATTCACAGGACTCCTCACCGACACCTGTGAGGTAAGGGTCGGTATTCCCATCCTACTGCTTAGGAAACGGATTCAGAGAGGTGAGGTGACTAGCTCAACGTCGCCCAGCAGGAAGTGGCAGACTGGTGAGTCCTATTGCATGCCCTGCCCTGAAACGTGGGTCTGCACAGAGATCCCAGGCCGTGGGCAGGGCCTTCTGGAGCCTCGTCTGCCCCCACGTCCCAGCCCCTTTCAAGGCCCTTGAGCTGCAAGGTTAGTAGGGTCTGGCTGCGGGGAGTTAGTAGGGCATGCTCGGGCCTGGTTAGTGGGTTAGTCGTTTGGCAGAGGCCAGGCACCTCGTCACACGCCACAGCGTCCCGGCCGAGCCCTGGGTTAGTAGGTTAATCACACCATGCAACACTTCCCGGGCCCCTCCAGCTGCAGCTCCAGAGGCCTCCCACCCCCACCAGCCAGGAAGCTGGGTCTGACCAGGGCAGGGGGTCTGCTTCCCAGCCCCTCAGCCCCACCAGAACCAGGCCTACCCACGTGGACCCATCCCAGAAGCATTTTACTTCCCGATTTCTGGACTGTGGGCCTCAGAGGCCCTCCTGCCAAACACTTCAGTTCCCCTGAAAATAGACCCTGCTCGTCCCAGCTGGAGACCCCCTGCCTGGTTCTGGTCAGCCCCTTCCCAAGGGCTGGATCCTGTCCCACTCACGCTCGCACGCACACACACGTGCACGCACCAGCATCTTCCCACAAAAGGTCTAACGCCCCAGAACCACATGTCCAGTGGACTTTTCTTTGGATCACCAACAGCCAGACCTCTGGCTGCTCCAGCCACTAGCCTGTCTTGTCGTACTCCCCAAACTGCACAGAGCTCGCCGACACCCAGAACCAAGGTCGCACTTCCCATCCCTCCTGGTCTGTGGCCTTTTTAGCCCATGCACAAAGCACCTGTGTGTGCCCTGCTTATGTCATCTCCTCTCATTGCTGTATTTCCCACTGAAACCCCAGCATTTCCCAGCTCTAAATGATGCTCTGTAAAAAAGAAAAAAAATTCTGTCCAGTAAAGTTTGGGGGAAACACCTCACCTTCATCTGTCCTTGAATATTCACAATTCCCACCAGCATTTTAAAGGCTCTGGTAAGTCCTGCACTACAGAAACCTGCTGAATTTGAATTCACTTTTTTTTTTTTAAAGAGCAATGACATCTCCTGGAACTCACTTTGGGGATCTCTGCTCTAATTCTCTCCCACCCACTGGAAGCTCCCAGCTAAGCCACATCTTTCTCAACCTTCAAGGCCCTGATTGGGTCAGCCTTGCTGGGGTCTGCCCAGGCTCCTATGGCCCACTCAGGGAACTTACTCCCACACCCCAAGCTCTCCGAACCTGGGCCTCAGTGGACTGGTCTCTCTCTGCCTCCTGCTCCAGTTCTGTGTGGGAAAGCTGCTCCCTCCCCCTCCCCCCGCATGGCCGTGATATCCTGAAGGTTGGAACCACACAC